TACGACAATTACTACAAACCATAAAACTACTAAACGCAGTCTTAGGAATATATAATCAAATGAGTTAAATATTTTCTGTGTGGTTATGCCATGGGCTTGATATATACCTAACATTCCATCCAGTTGTTTTTTCAGGTTTTAGGGATTTTTTCCCCTTTACTTGTTAATTATTAAACATTATGTGGTTCCCAAGTCAATGGTATAAGACAAGGTACATGCAGAGACTATTATCTTCCATTCCTGTCCCCTTCATTCTGTTCCTTCTTTTCTCTATAGGTATTCTTATTGTGATTTTTTTTTTTTCTTTCACCCATGAGTAATTTAGATGTATTGCTTAAATTTCCAAATATTTGAGGATTTTCCAAGTATTCTATTATTGGTTTCTAGGTTACTTCCATTATAGTGCGAGAATATGTTGCAGATAATTTTAATTGTTAGATTTGTTAGTTTGTTTTAGGGTCCAGAAATTAGTGTGTCTTGATGAGTGTTCCAGATGTACTTGAATGCGTTTAAGTGTTGCTGGGTAGAATGTTCTATGAGTGCCTGTTAGGTCAAATTGATTGCTAGGTTTGTTTATGTATTCTGTAGCTTTACTGTTTTTTAGGGTCCTATTTTTTCTGCTACTGAAAGAGGAGTGTTGAGATCTCCAACTGGAATTGTAAATGACTTCAGTTCTGTGAGTTTTTGTTTCATGTATTTTGTAGCTCTATTTTAATTAAGTGCATACGTATTTAGGATTGTTGCCTTCTTGATGAACTGACCCTTTTATTATTATGCTCCTTTTTATCCCTTATAAATATTTCTTGTTCTAAAGTCTACTTTATCTGAAATTTTTTGTTCTAGAACCAGTTTGTTTTTTTTTAAAATAAATTTATTTATTTTACTTATTATTTTTGGCTGCGTTGGGTCTTCGTTGCTCCGAGCGGACTTTCTCTAGTTGTGGCGAGCGGGGGCTACTCCTCGTTGCGGTGCACGGGCTTCTCATTGCAGTGGCTTCTCTTGTTGTGGAGCACAGGCTCTGGGCGTGCGGGCTTCAGTAGTAGTTGTGGCTTATGGGCTCTAGAGCTCAGGATAAGTTGTGCTGCACAGGCTCAGCTGTTCCACGGCCTGTGGGACCTCTGCGGACCAGGTCTTGAATGTGTGTCCCCTGCACTGGCAGGCAGATTCTTAAGCACTGCTTCACCAGGGAGGTCTGATTTGTATAATTTCTAATGAGAAGTTGGCTGTCATTCTTATATTTGTTTCTGTGTGTGTAATATGTCTTTTTTTAAAATTTTCTGGCTGCTTATATAATTAAAAAAATTTTTTCAGTCTTATTATTGTATGTGTATTTTCTTCTGCTTGGGTTTCTTTAATTTCCTAGAATCTGTAGGGTTATAGTTCAAATCCAGCTGAGAAATTTTGGCTGTTTCTCTAAACATTTTTTTTCTGTCTCCTTTGGAATCCAACTGACACATATTTTAGACTACTTAATTCTGGAGTCACAGTCACCTGTGTTTGTTTTGTCTTGTCTGCATTTCTCCCTGTGCTTCAGTTTGCATGGTTTCTATTGCTGTCTTCAGATGTACTGATTTTTCCTATGTCAGTGTCAGGATATTTTTCACTCCAGATATTGAATTGTTCATTTCTAGAGACTCCATTTGCAACTTTCTTGTATCTCCCATTTTTCTTATGTTCATTATCCTTTACATTCGTTTTTTTCCTCCTCCTCCTTTTTTTTTTTTTTTGCGGTACGCGGGCCTCTCACTGCCGTGGCCTCTCCCGTTGAGGAGCACAGGCTCCGGACGCGCAGGGGCAGCAGCCATGGCTCACGGGCCCAGCCGCTCCGCGACATGTGGGATCTTCCCGGACCGGGGCATGAACCCGTGTCCCCTGCATCGGCAGGCGGACTCCCAACCACTGTGCCATCAGGGAAGCCCTCCTTTACGTTCTTGAACGTATTTATAGTAGCTGTCTTTAAGGTAGTCATCTGCTAATTCCATGGTCTCTCTCCTTTCTGAGTCTGTGGCTATTCACTTTTTTCCTCTCCTGGTTATGGGGTCATTTGCTTGCTTCTTTGCCTGCCCAGTAATTTTGGATTAGCTGATGGACGTTGTAAATTATATGCTGTCACATGCTGAATTTTCTTTTTTTTTTTTTTTTCCTTGCGTTATGCGGGCCTCTCACTGTTGTGGCCTCTCCCATTTGCGGAGCACAGGCTCCGGACGCGCAGGCTCAGTGGCCATGGCTCACGGGCCCAGCCGCTCCGCGGCATGTGGGATCTTCCCGAGACGGGGCACGAACCCGCGTCTCCTGCATCGGCAGGCGGACTCTCAAGCACTGCGCCACCAGGGAAGCCCCTGAATTTTCTTGTTACTCCTTTAAAGAGTGTTGGGCTTTGATCTGGCAGAAAGTGAAATTATTGATGGATCAGTTTGATGCTTTCAAGGCTTGCTTTTAAGGTCCAGAGCAGCCTTTTCTGTAGACCTGATGGAAGATACACCATTGACGCAAGATCTTTCTTGGGACTCGACCCAATGCCCTTTGCATCGTGAGGCTGTCGCACTCTGGTTCTTGGGAACCTGAACTACTCGCCCTCTGTTGAGTTCCAGGAATTGCTTGGCCTACTGCTTTTCGGTCACGAGAGTTTGACCCTTCCCATGAGCAGGTTAGTACTTGGTCAAAAGTCTAGGAGACCCTCCTGCAGATCCGAGGAGCTGGCTGTCTCTGAGCAGCTCGCTCTTCTCTAGTACTCTGCTGTGTAAATGCTACCTTTGCCTTTCTGAAATCTGTCTTTTTAACTCAGTGAGGCCCCTCTGGATTCCGTTTCCCTGCCCTTTCCTGGGAACTGCCTCCAGGAAGAAAGCTGTGGCCACTGTGGTGCTCCCCTCCCACGCCCACTTTTTCCTCTTCTTCCAAACACTGCCTGTTGTCCTACGTCGGAAAGCCGTTGTTTCATGGATTTTGTTTTTCTAGTTGTTAATGGCTTGAGGGAAACTCTTGGAGCTGTGAATCCTTCATGTGTGGAAGTGGAAATCTCCCCCTTATGAATGGTTTGGCCCTACTCCTTGATGTTTCAGAGTTTGAGGTGCTACCTTAATGTCATCCGGGGGTTTCTTTTACTATCCTAGTTGCTTTGCTTTTGTGAGAGGATTGAAAATCAGTGTGGCTGCTACTGCCATCTTGCCCTAACTAGAATTCTCTGTATTTTAAATTACCCTTACATTCCTCTCATTTGGGCTTGGCAACTGCCCTGAAGATGGACACAACATGGCATTGCACTTGGTTGGCCTGTTTTCTTGTAACAAATTGGAGGTGTTTCCCTTACCCCAGGAATGGCTAACGTGTTACCACCCTAAGCATAAACTGTTGACAGTGGTAATTTCACTTACTTCCAGATTATTCAAAGGGATGGTGTAAGCTATAAACACAGCCTATGGCCAGGAGCCCAATAAGCTATCACTAACCCACTGTGAGACATGGGACCAGTCCCTTCTCATTATTCATTTGTATATGGCACCGTAAGGAGGACCAGGCCTGCCCTCGGGAGCACAGAGCTTGTTAAGGAAGGCAGATATGTAGAGCTAACTAGAATTCAGTGTAATTTGTGTCTACTGAGAAGCCTGAGTAAAGGCGCTTCCTTGGCCTTTCTTTTCGCATCTGAATAATGGAAGGGAGGGAGCAGCAATTTTCCTGTTGTTCTGTGCAGGCTAGGATTTTGTGGAATGCCTTGGGAGGTCTTGTGGGCCAAGGCCTCTCTAGCCTCACTTGAACCAATGTAGTTGCACTTTCTCCAATTTTATATGTTATGATGTAAGATTTATTTCACAACAGGGATTCTGCTGCTGAAAAATGGACAAAGAACAGGCAGAAGAGGGGTCCACACTTAGTCACGCACAGAACCTCCTGCAGTGAGCGGCCTGACCTTTCACCGGTGTGCGCGCACGTGAAGGCCCGGCGTGAGCTCCACTCCTCGATGACGGCTGAGCCGCCCCAGCACCAGGTCCCGGATTCCAGCCTTGAGAGTTCTGAGCTGAGACATCAGGATGCCAATGGTGGCTTTAGCACATGGTGGTGGACGGCCCAGGGCAGCTCTTGACCTTCTTGCCATTTTCCTCACCAGTAAGTTGGGGGTTTGTTCCTACACAGGTTTGCTGTGCTGCTTCACGTGTGAAAGCTCCAGGTTCGTGGCACTCATACAGGTCTCAGCTACTGCCGTGACCTGCTGTTTCAGTTCAGGGTCCCAGGGCCTCCCCTTGCATGTGATCCTTGTTTTAGTGTTGGTGAGCCGCTCCTTCCACTGACTGGGCAGTAAACCAGGTGAACTGTGCCTGCTTTCCTCTTCAGTCTTGTAAACTCTTGGGATATGGTTGATACTACCCTGTGTGTGCAGGGCAGACTTTATTAGCCTCAGTCTCCAGCAGAGGATGTATACTCAGGATAAGTAGCAGAGCTGGGGGCTGCAGTCCCATCCCTGAAGGCCAAGTATAGCTTTGTATGGTGCCTAAAGCATAAGCTGAGTCACAAGGACTTACACAGTGACAGATCAGCTCTGTGGGCAGGACTCAGCTAGGCCCATAGGGACCTGGGTCTTTGGTAATGCCGTTCTAGGACACTAACCAGCAAGAGGTAAAACGAGCTTTGTAGGGAGGGGTTAGAAAAATGCAGGAAGAATTATAAGCAATACAAGTTTATTTAATTACTTTGGAAACAATCCTCCCCCAAATGATGCCTGAACCTAACAGGTAGATAAAAATGACCAACAATATCTTAAAATAATAGAGCTGACGGTTAAACGTAGTTTTTCCCTCAGAACAAGTGTGTGTTCAGCTGGACAGTAAATTACAAACCATATCAAATCTTGTTAAGGCAGATGATAAATCTGGTTGCATTTGTTAACGACTCCCAGGAAAGTGATCTTGTGGGAGCTGGGTGTTCTTCCTCCCAGCTGTGTGGTCAGTTGGCCCACGAAGGGGCAGGTCCTGGAGGCAGCAGGTGGAGACCAGGCCCTGCCTGTCTTGTCACTGCTCGTTCTGCTGACCCTCTGTGACTGAAGTGGACACAGAACCCTGGCCCTTGTTGACATCACTGATGCACACCCACTGCCCGTCAACCGACTCCTTCCACAGGGTCACCTGCAAGCCAGCACACACATCGTTACAGGTATGTATCCCTGCCCTTACCTCCCTGGGTTCTCTAAAGAGGGCAAAGAGCTCCAGCAAGAACTACAGCTCACAGTCTTGTGGGTGAAGAGAGCACTTACCTTTGGTTCCCCCCACTGAAATCCCACCAAAATGGAAGTAAAGGAAAAAGTATCCACAAAGAGTAAGAAAGGAGGAGTCTGGAGAGTGATGTCATGAAGATGGTGACACAACTTGTTCACGGCTCCACTTTCCCTCAAAAGAAGAACTAACAGCTATTCATAGAGACACACCACTGAACAAATCCTACAACACAGCAGTGAGGCTGAAGTGTCCTTCACTATGGACACTGAGACCGACTCCGTTTGAAGGTAAGAAGGGGCCACATGTAGCTCCCGGCATCCCTTCCAGGGGCTGGCACACTACCACAGGGAGTGGCCTCCCCTGAGGCTCTGGCCCCTCCAGTGACATCCAGCACCTGTTCCCCCCCTCCCACTGCACTGTGCTCATCACTTTGCAGGTGCTGATACTCTGGTTTTGCTCCACCAGGATGGCAGCTGAATGAATCTGTGAGGCCCAGCTGCTGAGAATTGGATTGTGACCAGAGAGGCCTTCCAACAACCAGCACTCAGATCTCCACAGCCTGAGTCCCTACCTGCAGGGCCCAAGTGAGTCTGTTCTGACAGGGAAGCCGGGGCATAGGTAGGCTTCAGTCCAGACCACAAACAAACAAAGCATTAGTAACCTTAAAGCTGCTTTCCCTGGAAAGCACACCAGTTCATAGCTGCACTTCCTACTGAATACAGCCTTTGGACTGTATTCCAGCCTGCTGGACTGCCAACCAGCAAAGCCACATAGCTGGTCAACAACCCTGCTTAAGGTAACACGGGAATAGAAAGCACTGCCGGTGGCATTCACTGTCCGCATAGGAAATCCGGTGGCCTCACCTGACCAGGAATTCAGTGCACTCTTGACTCTTCAGCTCCCCCCAAAATAAGCCATGCATTCTCTGGATCCCATTCTGCTGTGTACTGCCAGGGCAAGGAAGGTAATTCTAGCCTCACCTACTGCTGAGTCGGGTAGCCAGTCCGGACTGTCTAGCAAGCCTGACCAGAGAATCCAGGCAGCTGTGAAGCCGATGCTTCAGCCTCACTAGTGCAGGGAAAGAAACCAGCTGTCCTATCTACCTGATCTCAGCCAGTGGCATATTCAGAGTTGAAAAAAGTGCCTCAACCCGAAACAGAACTTAATAGCAGGTCCTTTCAACCTAAGAACACTAATAGGAGAGAAAGCCAGAAACCCAAATTGAGCTGACTAGTGAAGAACTGTATCATCTGCACACTTGCAGAGAGGTACAATGAATTCTTCGAAAAAGAATTCAAAACAGGGCCCACTGTCAAGAAGCCCACTTCCAATCTCTTGCATGCCTATAAACTAACAATGAAAAATCAGAAAGAGAAATTAAGGAAACACTCCCATTTACCACTGCAACAAAAAGAATAAAATACCTAGGAATAAACCTACCTAAGGAGGCAACAGACCTGTATGCAGAAAACTATAAGACACTGCTGAAAGAAATTAAAGATGATACCAACAGATGGAGAGATATACCATGTTCTTGGATTGGAAGAATCAACACTGTAAAAATGACTATACTACCCAAAGCAATCTACAGATTCAATGCAATCCTTATCAAACTACCAATGGCATTTTTCACAGAACTAGAACAAAAAGCTTTACAATTTGTATGGAAACACAAAAGACCCCGAATAGCCAAAGCAATCTTGAGAAAGAAAAACAGCTGGAGGAATCAGGCTCGCCAACTTCAAAGTATACTACAAAGCTACAGTAAGCAAGAGAGTATGGTACTGGTACAAAAACAGAAATATAGAGCAACAGAACAGGATAGAAAGCCCAGAGATAAACCCACGCACCTATGGTCCGCTAATGTATGACAAAGGAGGCAAGGATGTACAATGGCGAAAAGACAGTCTCTTCAATAAGTGGGCTGGGAAAACTGGACAGCTATATGTAAAAGAATGAAATTAGAACACTCCCTAACACCATTCACAAAAATAAACTCAAAATGGATTAGAGACCTAAATGTAAGGCCAGACACTATAAAACTCTTAGAGGAAAACAGGCAGAACACTCTAAGACATAAATCACAGCAAGATCCTTAGATCCTTTTGACCCACCTCCTAGAGTAATGGAAATAAAAACAAACAATGGGACCTAATGAAACTTAAGACTTTGCACAGCAAATCAAACCATAAACAAGACGAAAAGACAACCCTCAGAATGGGAGAAAATATTTGCCAATGAAACAACAGACAAAAGATTAATCTCCAAAATATACATGCAGCTCAATATCAAGAAAACAACCTAATCCAAATATGGGTGGACAATCTAAGTACACATTTTTCCAAAGAAGACATACAGAATGCCAAAAAACAAAAGATGCTCAACATCACTAATCATTAGAGAAATCAAACTCCAAAGAGGTATCACCTCACACCTGTCAGAACGGCCATCACCAAAAAGTCTACAAACAATAAATGCTGGAGAGGCTGAGGAGAAAAGGGAGCCCTCCTACACCGTTGGGGGGAATGTAAATTTGTAGAGCCACTATGGAGAACACTACAGAGGTTCCTTAAAACACCACAAACAGAGCTACCATATGATCCAGCAAGCCCACTGCTGGGCACATATCTGCAGATAACCATACTTGGAAAGCCAACACTTGCACATTCACTGACTACAGCAAGACTTACAACAGTCAAGGTTTGGAAGCAACCACAATCTCCATCCACAGGCGAATGGAGAGAGAACATGTGGTACATATATACAATGGAACAGAGAAGAACAGACATAATTTCACGAAGAGGTGGAATCTAAAAATTGATAGGCGTGAACTAACGTACAAAACAGAAACAGACTCACAGACGTAGAAAAGAAACTTAGGATTACGAAGGGGGAAAGCATGGGGGGAGGGACAAATGCCATGGTTGGGATTAACCTGTACACACTAATATTTATAAAATGGATAATCAACAAGGACCTTCTGTGGAGCACAAGGAACTCTACTCAACAATCTGTCACAACCAATAGGGGAACAGAATCCGAGAGAGAACAGATATATGTATCTGTATAACTGAAACACGTCACTGTACACCGGAAACAAAAACAACACTGTAAATGTACAACACTCCAAACTGAAATCAGAAGTAAAAATAAAAAGAGAAAAATGCCTCCTCTAGTCTGTGTTGGCTTGGGGAACCTGGGCTACTGTCCCCCCCCCCCTGGAGCCCGGGCAGCCAGCAACACAAGGCTGGAGTGTTCTGGGCCTGAGGGAGCTGAGGAGGATGTACCAGCAAATAAGCCCCCCTTGGACCTCGAGTGTCTCGTCTCCTGGTGATGTCACCACAATCTCCAGATCCAGGCAGAACCCCCCCCCCCCCCCCCC